TCTCCCTTACTATTATTTTGCACTTTATTTATATATCAAGGTTCTTATATGATAAACCATAAGATATCTGTGTGTTTTACTTTAACATTGTCCTTACTGCAGATGCTATTAATTCAGGGATCTCTTTTTTCATTTCCAATCTGAGTTCCTCTATACCTTTCTTCAGTTGTTTTTTTTTTATTTCAGAAGCTGTTGATTCATTGATTTTAGCTGTGTGGTTCCCAATTTGTTCTGAGTTAGTGTCCTCTGCAGTTTTTATGGGTGGGCTTTGGGTCTGAGATTGCATTTTGCTCCTTCTCGTCATTTTGTGTAGCACTGTCTTCTGACCTTTGTTGTAGAGCTTTGGTGCAGTTATAACCTTAGCACCTACTGAAATTCAAGTGCAGATCTACAAAGTTTGGATTTATCCAGCTGGGCCTGGCTTGGGTCTGGCTGCTGTGCTCAGCTCCTTCCTGCTGCTGCCCTTGGGAGTGAACCTGTTGTGCCCCTCTGGCAAGATGTTCTGCTCCTGGACTAGCTGGGTGGCTTGGTCCCTTACTCTCTCTGCAGGGATTGAAGCTGCAGGATTTCACCCAGGCCTCTATGACAGGCCTGAGCTGAGTCTGGAGGGGACAAGGTGGAGTAGTGGGGAGAGGAAGCTCTCCCACACACTCACTGGGCCTGGGCTAGGGCTGGATCAGGGGGTCCCCAGAACACAGCAGAAATTCTTATTCGGCAGGCAGGGTAGGGGGTACTGTGAAGTGGTGGGGGGTGTCCCAAGGTGGTGGAAGAGGGTCTCACCCACGCTGCGCCTGGGCTGGGACTGGCAGGTCCCGCCAGCACAGGGTAGCCGGAAGCTCTCCCACACACTCACGGGGCCTGGGCTAGGACTGGATCTCTACTTTAACACTGTCTCAAGCTGCATCCATTTATTTACAATGACACAAGTTTATCTTTCTTTATGAAAGAATAGTACTTCACTATGTATAAATACCACATTTTCTTTGTCCATTTATCTGTTGGTGGACATTAAGGTTGTTTACAATATTTAGCTATTACAAATTGTAATACTATAAACCTGGTATGTTCATGCACCTACAGTATTTAAATGATAATGGAATGCCCTTCTCTGACAAAACTAACCAAAAAAGGGAAATACAAAGGAACAACCATTTTGTATCTGTATACTCAAAATAGTTAGGATAGATATACAGCTCCATTCTCTTAATTCAATGAATAGAGAGGTTTGTTCCAATAGTGTTTGAGACAGGATATCAGGTCTGCATCTTGTACAATTAATAACCACTAAGACAATAATATGCAGTGTGTTAATTACTGAAAATGTACTAGTAATTGGTTGTGAAACTGTCTCATTGCTATTTGTTTCTCAATAAAAATATTTTTTAAAAACCTGGTATGCATATTCATATGTTTATAACTCTTCCAGGAAGACATCTGGTAGGGTAATAGCTGAGTCAAATGGAATTTACTTTTAGTTTTTTGAAGAATCTTCATTCTGATTTACGTAACAATTGTACCAGTGTATGCTTCTACCAGCAGTGTATGCTTCTACTAGCAATGAATACTGTTCCTTTTTTACCTGTAACCTCTCCACATTTGTTCTTGTCTGCTTTCTTGTACATGGTCATTCTTTCTAGAGTGAGATAGAATCTCAGTGTTGTTTTACTTGCATTTCTCAAATAGGACATCAATATTGAATATTTTCATGTATTTTTTGCCATTTGTACTTCATTTGAGAAATGTGTTGATTTCAAATGCCTATTTTTAATTGGCTCTCTAATTTGGGGGGGGGTCTAAGGATTTTTACTCCTTTATATATTCTAGATTCTAACATGCTTTCTTAAAAAAAAAAAAGAAAGTAAAGGGCGGTTTTGTGATTTGAATGTTTGTTTATCTCCCAAAATTTGTAAGCTGAAATTCTTACTCCAAGATAATGCATTAGGAAGTGGGGCCTCTGAGTGATGGGAGAGTCACTCATCCTTTCCACTAAGTAAGGATACAGCAGGTACAATCTATGAACAAAACCCTCATGAGCGATCTGCTGGCACACTGATCTTAGGACTTCCCAGGCTTCAGAAATTCAGGAAATAATATTCTGAAGCTCATAAATCACTCAGTTATGGTATTTTTACTCTTGTAGCAATTTAAATAGACTAAGACAAAAGTCAAATTATCACCATACTGTAAAAATTTCTGGATCACAGCCTGATTCCTCCACACATTTTAAATGTAAACTTGTAATTTGTTTACATTATTGTAGGATGTTGCAATGAAAATGCTTATGCAAGGATACATGAATAATTGATAAAAGTAACACAGAATAAGCACAGTAAAAAGGGAACGAGAACAATGAAAGTGATGAGAAAAAAAGGTACAGCCTAGTAAAAAGAAGGTATGAGGAGAAAGAGAAAATGCTTTAAATAATACAGCAAATAAAATGTAGAGGCAGTGATTCATACGAAAAGAAGACTATTTATGGTACATATTTAAATGTAAAATTTCACTGTATCTAAAACAGTATTATTTATACAAATATCTATTCATTCTTATTTTAAAGGAATAATTTACATATTTAGGTAGGTAAAACTTCCAAGTTTACTACTCTGACCTAATTTTTTACTTGTAGCACCATTAATATGTATAGCAATACTAATTGCATTCAATGGTCAACAAGTACGTCCTTGAAATCCAGCAAATCTGATGAAGAAAGTTATATTCATTCTGAATAAAAGAAGTTATCCAGAAGTGATCTTCTGCATAATTCACTAACAATAGTAATAAGGAGATTTTTTTCTTCAAAAATGTTTAAAACAGACCCTAAAATGTGGTCACAGCTAAAGAAAGCTGTGTTTGGAGCCATAAAGTTCAGGAAGAAAATTTTCCTAATGAAACCCTCAAATTCAACATAAGTTATACTGTAACCCTAGGTACAGAGCTACTATGCACTATGATTTATTTTGTATACTGCAGTTCTGAATTCTGTATTAATTATATGTATGAGAAACTTTCAAAATAATAGTGTATCTCTTAAGCTACCTTAAGATTTTAAATTCAGTCTGAATAGTCTAACTAAAGGTGTATATGCAGAAATAACCATTCTCTGAGTTCACATCATTCAAGTAACTGCCCAAACAATTTGTGTAACACAACAACTTGCAGCTAAGAATCTACACACTAAGCTATCAGCTATCAGCTACAAATCCAAAACTTAAAGCTAATTCATGAAAAATCAAATAAAGATAAAAGTGCCTAAATTTCAATTTTATATTACATACCGTAATACAAAAGTAACAATCTTTAAAAACTAGATCAAATTTGTAATAAAAATACTCACAAATTAAATAATTTGAGAACTTTTAGTAACTAAAAATATTAATCATAATATATTTTAAAAGAACAAGTGACTAGAAAAGTATTGTATGCCAGAAAAGATTAAATGAAATCAACTAATAGGTCAGTACAAATAAAATCAGTCAAGAAAAAAATAACTTGGAAATACATGTTTCCTTAAAGAAAGTTCATACATTTCCTAAAACAATGAACCTTAACTTTTTTAAGCATTCAAAAATACTCTCAAGTGTACTTAAAAGACTTAAGTAGAAGTTATTCTAAAACAGGCAAGACAGGGCAACCCACTTGGGACCCCTACAGTATTAGACAGAAATTTTCTTTGCCCAGTAGATTCTGCTCTTAACCTCTATTTTTGCTAGAATTAATTTTTTGACTACAGAAAACACAAGCTCATACCAGGCATCTAGCAGGATTTGAGCCGAAAGAATTGGCTGTTTGAGTTTTTTTGTTTATCTATTTACTACGTCTTTGAGATCACGGTAAAATACAAGGCAAAATATTTAGTGTCAGCCTTTTTTTAAAAGGCCAGATAAATGGAGGTTTTGAAATACAAATGAAGGGGCCAGGGAGATGGCTCAGTGGAATAAGCGCTTCCCTGGCAAGTGCAAGGGACTGAGTTCAATCCCCAGTTCCGCCCAAAAAAAAAAAAAAAAAAAAAAAAGAAAGAAAGCATTATCCATTATTAAACAGTTTCTTTTTATTACACCAAATAATATTTTGACACTAAATATTTTAGATTATAAATCACCTACTCTGTATTTAAATCCAAAACTAAGTTAGCAATGAAAGATAGAAATCTAACTTATATTTAATATTTTAAAATATTTTCTGCATAGTTTTCCTGAACACACATTAGCCTTCTAGTTGCAACCAACATAAGGTCTATGAAAGGTCTAATCTAGGTCAAAAAGGAACAAATAAAAGAACATGAAAACCGTCAGAAACCACTACTGACATTTGCTCATGTACCCTGCCTCCCCTTTCCCACAAACAATATTTATCAAGCTTACCATGCAGTGCATGTTTAGCTTTTCCTTCCAACTCGGCACTAGATCAAAGAAACTCTAGAAGTCACAAAAACCAAAGCAAATTTCTCCTTCTTGCTAAATAGGTACCTGTGATAGGTTTAATTTGTGTATGTAAATTATACATTACATACATTTGTCTTATTCTATGTAAAATCTCAGTAAATACTTTCCCAGTGGGTATGTGGGAAATTGTTCTTCAAATTAAAGATTCTTTGTCCCATTAAAAAAAGATTTAAATAGTTCTAGTTACAGATATATATTGTCAAAATAACAACTATGCTATATTCTACTATGGTTATTTTCATATGAAAAGCTAGATAAAATCATTTTACTACAATCACAAAACCTTTTCAATTAATGTTGAAAAGTCAGAACTTATCCAGAGTGACTTTAAACAAAAACGTACATTATTTCAAAGTAACATGAACCTCTCTGTAATATTCAGGCAATTAACAGAAAATGTAAATAAATTAATTGAGATCAAGTTTAATAGGTAAAGAATAAATTTTTTCCTTTATAGTATTTTATAAAATAAACTCAATTTAAATCCCTTAATTATTATTATTTTCTTTTGCTACTTATTTCAAACCATGACGTACAAGTTTACAAACTGATGCAGGATATATCCTATTACTAGACTACAACTAGTTATTTACACACATTAATGGAAACAATACTGTTCCAATCAGGCACAATCTCTTTCCATTTTATATATGAGAACTCTTCACCTTAGCTCAGCAACATATATTTTAAATTATGGATTAGAAAAAGTGTATTAGAGTCATATTTTTTAAAAATACAGTACGAAATATTGCTTTTCACTGAGTCAAATAAGTTTTTGTTTTGTTTTTATGGCTATTTGGTTTATTTCCTTGTTTTGAATAAGATTAGTAGTAACCCTCATTCTTCTTTAGAAAGTCAAAAGCCCACGACTTAAACTTGAAGAAAATATAATGTGGCATTTTCCACTAAAACAGGTAAATTAGCACCAGAAGAGTAACTACTAAATTTTTACACTGTTCATTAAGAGTTCCATTTTCCTGAGTTTGCGTTTGTTCTTTGGCATTGGCTTAGGATATAATCCATTTTTCAGAAGGTATTCCTTGCTGAGACGAATTTGAGCACCATGTTGAAGCTGGAAAGAGCATAAAGCTTGAAGAGGACGAAGCAAGGTCTGTTAAGAAAAAAAATGGCACTAAAAAAGTGTGACAGATCATAACATGTTATATCTTTCTTCAAAAACAGATTACTGTATTTTTCATTATTGGATTTTAACTATAAATATTTAAACAATTACATATTGTTTCTAAATAATTTTTTAAATTCATAAATTCCCTACCACTAAGAATTTTAGTTTTAGTTTTTTGTTTTCTTAGTTTTTTGGATTTTTTTTTTTGTGTGTGTGTGTATGTGTGTGTGTGTGTATGTATGTGTGTTACCAAGGATTGAACTCAGGACCTTTCACTTGCCAGGCAAGTGTTTATTCTACTGAGCTATCTCCCTGGCCCCAAGAATTTTAGTAAAAGGATACAAATACTCATTTCCTATATAGATAAGAATTAGTCGTAACTAAATTTTACACTTTATTCAACAAAGAAATATTGTTGCCTTGTAAAAAATTAATGTTTAAGCAGCCTAAAAGAAATAAATAAGCATATCCAATTGGTTAATTCAGTGTCAATCATAAATCAATGCAATCTTACTTGAAAACAAATGAAGGTGATAACTACCAAGTGGCTTAATACTTCTCTCACAGTAGTCAATGGACAACATACAAGTTAGAGGTTCAGTTCTTAAGGCATCTGAAATTATTATAACTGGATATGCATCTGCCTAAATTCAAATACCTATAGGGCCAAGCATGTACCATAAGCTTAATAAATCTGTACAGTAACCAAGAATGTTGGAGAGTACAATACAACTATTGTACATATTCTATCTAAAGTTACTTAAATTAAAAACTATGCCAACTTCTAATACATAATTTAAGCTTGATTCTCTCCTTGGACTGTAGACTCCTAATCTAAATCTTTTAAGCAATAATAGCAAAAAAATTATGATTGAACATATTGTTAATGATACATAAAAGGAAAAAAATGAAAAATTTAAAACATTTTCACAATGTTTATATGAAAATTTAGTCTTCTACATATAAATTCAAGTAAGAGAAAAGGCTTTACTTAAAATTAACTCATAGTTGCTTCTCTACATCCATTATTTTCTTATTAAAAGAATCCAAATTTCACTCAAGGTGGCAATCTATCCAGTTAGTAACGTCAAACTAAATGACACAGTCTACTGAACGTAGTATGTTCCTGGGTGGAGTTTCTAAAGGTACTCTTTAAAAGCTGGCAGATTTAGCAGGCACAGGCATTTTGTTCCTTATTTGTGCCTAGAACATGACTGATGGAGATGGGACAAGAAGCAAGTGACCACTAGGCAATAAACACTAAAGATGATGGACAGATCAAAGACACCTATGATGTCATTTCCAAGTGGCATTCTGAGTACAGGACTGCCCATCTCAGTATGTTTAATTTGGAGGAGAAAAAACCCTCTCATTTGACTTCACTAGTGCAGTAAGTGTTGTTTTCATGCAGTCAAACATTCCTAATCAATATATATGAATTTAACAAAAAAGACATCTTGCAAAAGTTGTATACTATATTGCTGTGAAAAGATCTTAAGGCATACTTTCATAATTTATTTTAAAAAACAGGAAAGGAAAAGGAAAAACAACTATACACTACTTTACAGAGGTCAACCCAATGGACAGATTGGATTTTGAAACACCACTCAGTACCTAGGAAATATGCCTGAAACTACACAGAGAATAAAACAAGACTCTACTGAGATTTTATGATGGTTATTAGATTAAGTTTTCAGGGATAAGAGAATACTTAGTATCCGTACAGTCAAGAGCCTTCAACTTTTATGTCCTCAAGATATGATACGATCAATTTACTGATGCATTGAGAATGAATTTTGGAGATATACAAATCTGAATTAAGTTCCCTTTTCTTCTATAGGGTAGTCCTATGGTAATATATTAGTCAGTTTCCCCCTACTGGGCACAATTCCTATCCTCACATCTTAAAGTAGGAAAGGTTTAATGTAGCTCCTAGTTTGGGACGATTACTTTCATAGTCAGCTAGTCAGCTGGCTCCAAGGCAGAAGATTACAGCAGGAAGGCAAGGCAACACAAAGGTGCCAAGTCACGGTGGGCAACAGTGCCTGAAAGAAACTGGCTGGAACTAAACATATATATAGTACCCAAACCCAGGAGTGTGCTCTCCTAATCTTACTGGGCAATTCTTAATCCACTGCATCTGATAAATCAGAATAGTCATAGGCTATTAACAAATAAGCCTTTTTCTGCTTAGCTCTTCATCAGACTGCATTTTCAATCACCCTTTGAAGATAGGCATGGCTCTTAATTTGCTTTGTTTAATGAAATGCAAGCATAAATATTGTGTGCCACCTTTGGACAGAAGCCTTAAAAAAGCTTTGGGCTTCACCGCCTTCTGTGCCTTTCCCTTGTGAAAGTAGTGATGGGTCTAGACCTTTTCTTCACCAAATTGTGTCCCTGAATGACTACAAAGCCCACTGGTCAGACCATAAGAAAGAGGAACAGCCTTTTGTCATCTTATACTCCTTTAAGTCTAACCCAGCCTAGCTTAAGTGATGCTATCTGATTTACTGGCATATACTCTAAGATAAGTAATATAAGTTCTTCTTGCCTCATTTTATTCATGTGTACACTGAAAGTGTTGAACATACTACTAGATAACAAGGGAAATGTTTCCACATAAACAAAAAGCATCACATCAAAGGCAATGTAAAGGTATATGTTAAAAAAAAAGAGACTGCTTTAGGGAAACAAAGAAAATCATCTAATTGTAAAATAAGGTTTTTTTGAATGGTAATTTGGGAAAAAACAGTTATTTGTAGGTCCTTTGATCTACATGAGTAAAGAGATAAGATTTCAAAAGTATAAAAATGATGTATAGAAAGTAAAGCCATATTAATATGCTGAGCTGTCAACAACTTCTGACACTGCCAGTCCTATGGATAACCCACTACTATTATGGACTACTTTACTATATTGGATTATTTTGCTGAATTCACACTCCTACAATATTTAAATGGCAATGAAGGATTCATCTCTGACAAAACTAAACAAAAAAAGGGGATACAAATGAAGGACCATTTTGTATCTGTATATACAAAATAGGATAGATATACAGCTACAGAAGAAAAATTTGTACTAATAGTATTTGGACAGGATATCATGCCTTAATCCTGTACTATGAATAACCACTACGAAAACAACAATAAACAACATATTAATTATTGAAACTGTCATATTAATTGGTTTTGAAACTGTCTCATTGCTATTTGTTTCTCAATAAAAGAGAGAGAGATTTCAGAGAGAGAGAGAGAGAGAGAGAGAGAGAGAGAGAGAGAGAGAGAGTTCAAATGGCTGCTGCTACCAGACCTTGACGATGGGTTGAGCCAAGCTATGTGTGGCTCAAAACCTTGTCCACAACTACCTTTGAAAGTTCATAAAGTAAAACTTCCTACATAGAGGAGATAATGTAATGAAAAAGATCCCCAAGCTGAAGCCTTCAGATGTATAAAAAGTCACATTATATATTAAGTAAATGAAATGCTTATTTCAAAAATTCTTTTGTTAATCTATAGGCACGAATAAGAGGTGGCCTTTGTTGTTTATCACATCTCATTCAATCTTCGTGTGTGTGTGGTACTAGTGATTGAACCTAGTGGTGCTCTACCACTGAGCAACATCTCTAATCCTTTCTATTTTTCATTTTGAGACAAGGTCATGCTTGGCGTTGAGCATGCAATCCCCCTATCTCAGCCTTTCAAGTAGCTCGGATTATAGGTGGGCACTATCACACCTGGCTACTCAATGAGATAACTAATTTTTTATATATTACAGATAATAAAACAAGCACAAATGGCAAAGGATGATTATAATGAAGTGATGACATTATAATTCAAGCCTTTTTAAAGTCTAGATCATGCTTCCAGGGAGCTATGATCTATTATTTTATGCCATGCTAATTCCATGTGACTGAAAACTGAGAGATCTCCTATTCAGACAGCAATTTTTTTTCAAAAAGCAATTTTCATTCTTTTGAATCTTTATTTATTTATGTATGTGGTACAGGTCTCATTTCACAGCTCAGACTCATAGTGATCCTTGTGTCTCAGCCTCCCTACTGCTGTGATTACAGGAGTGCCTGGTTTCAGTGGCCAGTGTGGCGCAGGGCCAGCATGGCATGCAGTACTGGGGATCGAACATGGGTCCTTGCACTTGCTAAGCTTAGACTGCCAAGCTATCTCCCCAGACCGAAAGGAACTTTTATTATAAATTGGTAGTCTGCTTTTGCCATCTATAATCATAAGCAACTTGTGATATTTCATTACGAATTTTTTCTATTCCTGCTCCCACAAACCAACTTATTAGAACCTCTCACATCAGATATGATTTTCACTCTTCTTTTTTCTATTCCTGGCCACTAGAGCTAGTCTACTACTAGAGAAAAAAATAAATAGAAATGAGTACTCTGGGATCTCAGTATTACTTTGGGGTTTTTTGCTAAATTTGACCTAAATACAAGCACCAAGGCTGAAGAGATGTTGAGTCTTGTCACTATTCTGTGTCTTAAATTTTCTCTGTTAGATATTACTCTTAGAATATAAAATATTTTGCAAGTATCAGGTTGCATGGTAAAGATCCCTTTTTTGTTTGTAGGATGTTGTATTACAAAGCATATCTAATCTATTGAAAGAAAGGGAAGCTTTAGCTTTTTTTGCACAAGGAATCAAACTAAGGACCTTGAGCTTGGCAGGCAGACACTTGTGACACTGAGCTATAGCCCCTGTTTGTGAGCCATATCCCTGGCTACTACTTTTAGCTTCAGGTTAGCAATAAATGATTTTGGTTTCATCAAGCAGTAAAAATAGTAAAAGATGAAAATAATGATAAGATGACAGAGAAGAAACCCTTAAAAATATTAAGAAGGTTGTCCTTACTATCTAATGTATTTTTATGAATATTTCCTTTACAATTTTGAAACAAATCATCATAGATACTTGTACAATATAGAGTAATGTAAAATACAAATTGAAACATTCTTGGCTAGTAAGATTTCTGTCATGACGGTACATAATGAATAAAACTGGGAAAGTGGAAAGCAGCAGCAGCATTAATAGTAGTGGTATAAGCCTACCCTTATGTTGTTTTACTATGCTCTTAGTGCTATAGGCCCAGCACTACCAACACTGAAGATTCAATTTAGGATTGTAATTAAGATTCAGTTCTACCTGTGGAAACAAGAGGTGAAAGTCCTTGGAGAATTTTCTCCATACCCCCAAAAGAGGAAAGAAGTTTTAAATATACAGCCAAAGAAGATATTTTTCCCTAAAGCACTAATTTTTTTTAATGTATTTAGTACAAGGTCTACAGGGTCTCACTACATGTATCAGACTTGTAGTGATCCTCCTGTTTTTCAGTCTCCCAAACTCTGGGATTACAGGCATGCGCCACCATGCCCAGTCTAGCTGTCTCAGTGTGCCCTGGTGGCAGGGCCAGCATAGCAGGCCCAGGATTAAACCCCAGGCCCCTGAATCTGCCTAAGCAAGTACTTTAATCAGCTGACCTATCTGGCTGGCCTAGCACTGAGCTTTTAATAAGTCTTTGGTCTAAGGTCTGCTCCTACATTTTTACATAAACAAATAGGAAAACAGCTTGCACAGAAAGCAACTTTAAACAACAGCACTAGGTACTATCTTTCTGTTAGTATATCTACAAAGAGTATTTTTTATATGGCTCAAGAACATAAAGTGACCATGTTGGATAAACAAAAACAAACAAGTGTAGGGAAATATAAAATATCACATTGAGGGCTGGGTTCATGAGTAAATGTAGATACTTGGCTAGTAAGATTTCTGCTGTGACGGTACATTAATTAATATGAGAATAAAACTTT